CTGGGTTTATTCCCTGAATCTGTGTCTTTGCAGGGGATTCTGATGCCCACTCAAGCTTGAGTACTATTGTGTCAGCCTCTCAGGCAGAGAAGGCTCTCAGCTGCTTCTTTTTGTTTAGGCCATAGTTGATTTGCAATATTGTGTTAGTTTCAGGTGTGCAGTTTCAGATTCTTTCCCATTATAGATTATTACAAGATACTGAATATAGTTCCCTGTTCAGTTCAGTTCAGTCGCTTATTCATGTCTGACTCTTTGCAACCCCATGAATCCCAGCAGGCCAGGCCTCCCTGTCCATCACCAACTCCCGGAGTTTACCCAAACCCATGTCCATCGAGTCGGTGATGCCATCCAGCCATCTCATCCTCTGTCGTCCCCCTCTCCTCCTGCCCCCAATCCCTCCCAGCATCAGGGTCTTTTTCAATGAGTCAACTCTTCGCATGAGGTGGCCAAAGTATTGGAGTTTCAGCTTCAACATCAGTCCTTCCAACACCCAGGACTGATCTCCTTTAGGATGGACTGGTTGGATCTCCTTGCAGTCCAAGGGACTCTTAAGAGTCTTCTCCAACACCACAGTTCAAAAGCATCAATTCTTCAGTGCTCAGCTTTTCTTCACCGTCCAACTCTCACATCCATACATGACTACTGGAAAAACCACAACCTTGTCTAGACAGACCTTTGTTGGCAAAGTAATGTCTCTGCTTTTAAATATGCTATCTAGGTTGGTCATAACTTTCCTTCCAAGGAGTGAGCGTCTTTTAATTTCATGGCTGCAGTCATGATCTGCAGTGATTTTGGAGCCCCCAAAAATAAAGTCTGACACTGTTTCCACTGTTTCCCCATCTATTTGCCATGAAATGATGGGACCAGATGCCATGATCTTAGTTTTCTGAATGTTGAGCTTTAAGTCAATTTTCTCACTCTCTGCTTTCACTTTCATCAAGAGGTTTTTTAGTTCCTCTTCACTTTCTGCCATAAGGGTGGTGTTGTCTGCATATCTGAGGTTATTGATATTTCTCTCGGCAATCTTGATTCCAGCTTGTGCTTCTTCCAGTCCAGCTTTCTCATGATGTACTCTGCATATAAGTTAAATGAGCAGTGTGACAATATACAGCCTTGACGTGCTCCTTTTCCTATTTGGAACCAGTCTGTTGTTCCATGTCCAGTTCTAACTGTTGCTTCCTGACCTGCATACAGGTTTCTCAAGAGACGGGTCAGATGGCCTGGTATTCCCATCTCTTTAAGAATTTTCCACAGTTTATTGTGATCCACACAGTCAAAGGTTTTGGCATAGTCAACAAAGCAGAAATAGATGTTTTTCTGGAACTCTCTTGCTTTTTCGATGATCCAGTGGATGTTGGCAATTTGATCTTTGGTTCCTCTGCCTTTTCTAAAACCAGCTTGAACATCTGGAAGTTCACAGTTCATGTATTGCTGAAGCCTGGCTTGGAGAATTTTGCACGTTACTTTACTAGCATGTGAGATGAGTGCAATTGTGCGGTAGTTTGAGCATTCTTTGTCATTGCCTTTCTTTGGGATTGGAATAAAACTGACCTTTTCCAGTCCTGTGGCCACTGCTGAGTTTTCCAAATTTGCTGACATATTGAGTGCAGCACTTTCACAGCATCATCTTTCAGGATTTGAAATAGCTCAACTGGAATTCCATCACCTCCACTAGCTTTGTTCGTAGTGATGCTTCCTAAGGCCCACCTGACTTCACATTCCAGGATGTCTGGCTCTAGGGTGAGTGATCACACCATTGTGATTATCTGGATCGTGAAGATCTCTTTTGTACAGTTCTTCTGTGTATTCTTGCCACCTCTTCTTAATATCTTCTGCTTCTGTTAGGTCCATACCATTTCTGTCCTTTATCGAGCCCATCTTTGCATGAAATGCAAATGAAATAGTTCCCTTGCTATATAATAAATCCTTGTTGTTTATTTTATATACAGTGATTTGTGTCTGTTAATACCAAACTCCTAATTTATCCTTCCCCACCTCTTCCTTCGGTAACCATAAATTTGGCTTCTATGTCTGTGAATCTGTTTCATTACTTAGTTGATTTGCATCATTTTCTTTTGATTCCACATGTAAGCGACATCATATGATATTTGCCTTTCTTTGTCTGACTCACTTCACTCGGTATGACCATCTCTAGGCCCATCCACGTTGCTGCTCTTTGCTGCTGTTTTATTCCCTCACTCATTGCAGGTTTGTTGTGGGTTCCTACTCCCATCCAGGGATGGAAGGGGCCAGTGTGTGGGCAGGCCAGGCTCAGAGGACCAACAACTGCCTCTGAGCCTGTGAAAGACTCTGAGAGAGTCACCGCCCTGCTTCCCACTCAGCCACACAGTCCCCGCGGAGGTGGGAGCGGCTTTTCCACAGGTGTCCAGGCTTCCCTCCGGGGTCTAACTCGGTTCTCAAACTCGGCACCGTTGACATTTTGAGTTGGATGATTCTTTGTTTTGGGAGGTACTGTCCTGTGCACTAGAGGCTGTTTATCAGCATCCCTGGCCGCTGTTGACTCTGTGCGTGTCCTGCCCCCAAGTTGTGACAATGTCCCCTGAGGCACAAAAATCACACTGCCCCTCCTCCTGCTTTGAGAATGCTCGTCTTATCTGAGTGACCCCTCAATAGAGGTCGTCCTGGGCGATTCAGTTCTCAGGAAGACAAGCAGTGGAGAGGTGAGTGGTATAACCAGAAGGAACATAGGGTATGGGGCAACCATGGCTTTGAATCTTGGCCCTGCCAATGACTAGCCATTGACTTCCCGACCCCTTCTTCATTCCCAGTCTTCTGTAACCAAAAAAACCAAAACCAAAACAGTCTTCTGTAACCAAAAAAACCAAAACCAAAACAAAACAAAAAAATCACACACCCACAAACATTATTTTCATAAATGACTTTTACTTCTTTATCATTTTTCTTGACAGTAATTCTTGGCAATGTGCATATAACATGAAGGCAAGCATACTTTCAGAAGTCATCAAAGATATGGTCCTATTGACCTCATTTTCTTAAACCATTAAAATATTTTCATTTATAAAAATTAATCTAAATATAAATATTGACACTGAAGATCAAAATCACTTGATGACAAAATAATTCTTCTGGAACTATAACATATGCTATGGATTTTAATAGTAAATTAAATCTTTGCACTTATTTGGCACAAGGAAACCTTATAAAAATTCAATGCCATAGAGCAGGCTTCTTCTTTTTTTTTGCAAGGCTTACACAGTACACATTTTTGTCAAGGAAAACTGAATATTTTAACACTGTAACACAACAGTAGTTGCTTTTCATGCCTCTTAAAGAAAACGCTCTATTTGGAACTCAGATCTTTTTTGTTGTGTTCTTAAATTGTGTATTTGTTTGCTTTTAACCACACCAACAGAACAAAAAGCCAAAGATTTACTTTATTTCAAAGGACTCATTTCTGTTGGATAACACATAGACAGCATCAGCAAGGAATATTACTGGAAGATAGGTAGACCCCCATCAGGAATGGATCATAACACATATTTCAGCAGCAAGTCAGGTCTGGAAATGTGCACAGCAGCAAAAGAACATAGAAGTTGAAAACAACACAGAGTGAGGCTTTGTCAGGCATTCAAATTATACTTAGCTTAACGGTCTGATTTTGGTAAATTAATCACTCTGGCCCTCAGTCTCCTCATCTGAAAAATGGGGATACCTACTGAATAGGGTTGCTATAAGGATTAGAATGATAAGTCTATCGCCTCCTTCAGAGCAGTCCCTTAATAAACATCAGTCACGCTATTTCCTTACTTCCCATCTTGTACCTTCTTCCTCAGATTCAAAATATACAAGGAGAAAATTTTAAAAAAGGTTGCTAATACTCAATTAATTGAGTAAAATTCCAATTCCATTTGCTTTTATAAACATACTCTAAATAGTCATGTGTTTGAGACCACACAAGGGAGTTAGCTTCAACTCTTGCATCTGTTGAATTCAGAGTTTGTCCTTGCTTTATTCAGACATGAGAGTTTTCTCAGGCTATTCCTTAACCATTTTTATCTTTAGGGTCATCTTACTACTTCGGCTGAATATTTATTGGGAGGTAAATTTTGGAGTACAGCATTTCCTTATGTGGTTGTATTTCGCAGTCATCCAGTTACCTAAAACCTCATTTAGATGCAGTCATTGCTAAACCACATCTTACTGATTCTGGACAATGCACTAAAGTTAAGCCAATGGTGGGCTTTCTCAAGTCCCTCTCCCCTTCAGAGCGGGGAGATTCAGAGAGTCCAAGGAAGAGCCCTGAATTCTTGATGAGACATTGTTTCAGACAGACCTGGGCATGGCGTGGGTGAGTGAGAGCTTTCCGTCCTGTGGCTTCTGACTGTAAAGTGATGGGAGGAACTGGTGGGGTGGTGGGCGAGAAGCCAGCAGGAACAAGGTGGCTGGAGGGAGACTTTTGACAGGTGAGGGCTCCCCGAGTTAAACAGTCCCCAGTGCTCACTACAGGGGCGTTTCACTTTTCTCCTAAGCATTTGTAGGACAGACATGCCTATGAGAGAGTAATGAGAACTGATGACTTAAATGTTAATAAGCTTCCCTCCACCATCTCCTGACCCCAGCACTGTATTTTGGGACAAATTGTTGACATGTAATTCTAGTTGAATCAAAAGGGTAAAAAAAAAAAAATAAGGTCTTAAAGACAGTACACAGTAGCAAAGTGAACAGGGAAAGGATGCATCTTTTGAACATGGAGCTCAGCTGTTGGAAGCCAGCGTCTTGGTTTTCTGTCTTGGATTCCCCTGGGAGCCTAAGGCAGAGCGTAGGCAAGACCTTGATACTGAAGTCTGGGTCTGCTTTCCGGCTGAGGTATCAGGACAGCCCTGTGCAGGGGCGCGCTGTGGCCTCCCCAGGCCCTCTCCTCAGGTGGAAATCCGTACAGTGATTTGATGGCTGTTGGGTCAAGGCACTGTTGTGTACGGCCGGAGGCAGTGGGTCACTGGTAGAAGAGTGCCATGGTGCTAATACATCACAGCTGACTCCAGGGTGGGCTCCTGCGGGGAGAAAGCGAGCGGGTGCAGTCAGCCCCTGGTGAGAGCACAGACAGGCCATTAACAACGTCCGCTGCTTTTTTGTGTCATAAAAGGTGTTCGTGCCCTTTGCCCAGTGAAATCGTTCACAGTATGCAAAGAGTGATGCATTTCTTACATGTACTTCTTAATCCATCAGAAATTCATTTTGGTATATGGAATAAGACAGAACTGATTCCCCTCCGACTACATCCCGTTGGCTAATTTGCCAAGCACATTTTTTTTTTTAAATTATCTATACCTTCTCTACTGGTTCCTAGGGCTTTAAAAAATCATAAAACAGATTTTCATATGTGTCTGTGTCTATTTCTCAGCTTTCTATTCTATTTCATTAACCATCAATTTCTTTACAATTTTTTATTTATTTTAAAATCTGGCAGGAAAACCATTTTAACTTTGCAAATTGCCCTTGTCTATTCTTTCATATTTATTCCTATATGAACTTTACCTCCAAGAAAACCTCACTAAGAATTTTATGAGAATTAGATTAAACTATAAATTAATTTGGAAAGAAATGAATTTTTGTGGGATTTATTAATCATTATCTCAGTATTAAAGGTCTCGTTGCATTCCTGTAAAATTTATCTGGTAATTTATTACTTAAAGTACCCTTGCATTTAATTTGCTAATATTTTATTTAGCATGCCTCACCTTTCTGAAGAAGCACTACTGGTGTGTGATTTGTATGTGTCTGTGCATGTGAGTGAGCATGGAGATGTGTACACACTTGCCAGCCTCATCAGGCTTTGCTTGTTGGGGTTTTAACAGTTTCAGAACATGTGACATTATCTTGAGGATTGGGGTCACAGAGGGTAGTTTTATACTTTCTACCTGTGGGAATTTATTGAGGCTTTCTTTGTAGTTGGTATAAAATCAGTTTTTATAAATGACCCATTGATGTTTGGAAAGAAAGTGAACTCTGTTAAGTATAAAGTTAGATATGTTTTTTAGAGATATTTCTTAATTAAAGCTTAGTAATTACACTATTCCAAATTATCTAATTTGTGTGTATTTCTGGTGTACTGAGCTTCCAAGGGCTGATTAAGGGAATTTTAAAGTCATTAACCATGGCACATTAAATTGCGTTGTTTGCCAGTCCAAGAAAGGCTCGTGACTGCCTTTATTTTATCAATATCTAAAACATCCTCCCTCCCTGTTTCTTCCATGTGCTTCCTGCCTTGAATTCTACTTTGTTTGAAAGTAGCATTCCTGCCCTTTCTTTTTTGTTTCCATTTATTTAGCAAATATTGTCTATCCTTTCATTTTTAACCTTTCTGTGTTATTTAAAGTTAATTTATTTAAATAAACAATTTACTGAGGTGAAATTCACAAGCATAAAATTAACCATTTAAAAATGAACAATTCAGCAGCATTTAGTACATTCCCAATGTTACATAGCCACCAACTCAGTCAAGTTTCAAAACATACCCTCTATGGTAAAACCTCTTATCCTTACGCATTTCTTTCTATGCTCCCTCCTCAGAGCCCCTGGCAACCACTTATCTATGTTCTATCTCTATGGAAGGTAATTTATTTATTGTTTTATTTATTTATTTTTTAAATTTTAAGGGAGGGGGACCTGGAGCTTTATTCTCCTTAAATTTTTTAAAAAACATTGTATTGAAGTGGAGTTGATTTACAATGTGGTATTAGTTTCAGATGTACAGCAAAGTGATTCAGGTCTATATGCGAGTTTTGTGCTCAGTCGCTTCAGTAGTGTCTGACTCTTGTGACCCTGTGGATTGTAGCTCGCCAAGCTTCTGTCCACGGGATTCTCCAGGCAAGAATATTGGAGCAGGTTGCCATGCCCTCCTCCAGCAGATCTTCCTGGCCCAGGGACTGAACCCGAGTCATGTCTCCTGCATTGGCAGGTGGGTTCTTTACCACTTAGCATCATCTGGGCAGCCCAGGTGTATGTGTGTATATATATATATATATATGTATATATATATATATATATATTTCAGATTCTTTTCCCTTATAGGTGGAGTACAGTTCCCTGTGCTATACAGTAGGTCCTTCTTGGTTGTCTATTTTGTATATACTAGTGTGTATATGTTAATCTCAAACTCCTAATTTATCCCTCTTCCCCACCCTCCAGCTTTCCCCTAAGGTAATTTATTTTTAACTGTCTTATTTATAACAGATTCCTCCCCTGGCCCTAGTGGTCTGCCCTTTTAGAGTAATAATGCATATTTTTAGGTCTTTGCAGTAATGGCCAGTAGCCAGGTAATTGGACTTTGGAAGGTCGGGGTAATGGTCGCCAGTGAAGCAAAGGCGGTGGGCAGCACTGTTGCCATATGGTGCCTAAGAGATGCAGTAACTTGTAATTCAGAAGAGCATGCCCTCCATTATGCCATATCCTGGTGTTTGTGCGCTCACAACACAGGGACAGTGCAGGGGGAGGAATGGGACCGGAGCAACAGGTGACGCATAAAAGGCAACCAAATAGGTCTGCCTGTGCTTCAGTCTTGTCACCAGCCATCTTCTGCTCCCTCAGCATTATCAGTATCCCTGAGGCAGTTCAGCTGGATCTTTACCTCCCATGTAAGCAGCATCGAGCATTTACAAAATTCTGAAGCACATGTTGGTGTTAGGGTAAATAATCCCTTAGCCCTCTTACATGATCTCCAGGTTTATGCAAATTATCCGTTATCCCTTCCTTTGCCACATTTATGGGCAGCTGCTGACTTTTTTTTTTCTTCAGAAAAACAAGTAAGTAATGGCTAACAAGAAATTTAAGGAAGAATGAATATGAACCAAAAACAGAATAAAAACTTGTACACCTCAATCAGACCTTACATTTTGTCTACATATTTTTATTTCTATTATATTAAACCTGGTTCCTAAAAGGAGTTGGAGATAGAGCTGAGAGAATGTATCCACATACCCAGAAGTTTAGCAACATAAGGAACCCTGTCACTTGACCAACAGACCATGCAGGAAGTTCTGACTGGGGATCTACAGAAAGAATGGCTGCAGATTGGAGGTGCCATCAATAGTGAAAGTAACTGGCATTAAGACAGAGATGACTTACTATCAAATCCTTGGGGGTGCTATTCCTTTCTTTAGTCCCGTTTGTTGAGGAGTCTTGGAGAATGAAGTTGCGGTTAAATGTTTTAATGGTGGTTGTTGAAGATGCCTCAATTTTTTCAGCTAAAAGGAAACACACAGGCATAAGTATCATCTGGAAGCTGGACTGATAGTTAAGGAAGAAAGAGCAGCTGTCCAGTTTACCCAGATTTTTGTTCTAGACTTGGCATCTCATTCTGGGTCCATAGGTCTGACTGTGGAAACGCTTTGTTCTGTTTATTTATTTTGGGGTAGATCAAATAAACCAAGGCATCATCCATTGGTGGCTTTCTGGCAAAAAGGTAGCTTGGAGAGAATCCAATACAGTCTACTAACTCTTATTTGCAATTCTGAAATATAAAAGGCTCAAAAAAAAAAAAGGCAAATCTTTATGACTTTGGAGTCAAAACTGCCTAATGGCAAAACCTGACGTAAGCTGACAAGTGGCCGTTTCAGGTCCTTGTCCCACCCGCAGAGCATGAGCATTCTCATTCTTAGCTGCAGAGTTACTGATGTATTTATCACCACGGGGAGGGGGCTGTCAGGAAGTACACAGCACACATACCACATTATCTTTCTAAGGTACAAATGATTCTGAAACACATATAGACCCAATGGTTTCAAAATAAGAGTTCATGGATCTGCAGTATATTTTAATTGTTTAGGGCTCCGTGGAATATAAAGTAGGCATTCAGTAAACGTTTGTTGAACAATGAAGGGTGAAGCCAGAACTCAAACATGTATCCACTGACTTTCTACTCTTTTATTTTGTAGGTCTAAACTTCTAGTTTGGCATCCTCACTCTGTGGCTTCTGAATCCAGGGAGATAGTTGAAAACAACCAGTAGATAAGGGTGATGGGACTGGCATTACTGGAATCCTTCTAAGTTGGGCCCTGAGTTAGATACTTTCGGCATGTGCTCACACCTCCCTGACGATCACCATCCCAGCCCACTCTGACAGCATTCTGCTGCAGGCACCACCACTCTCTGCTAGCCCATGAGTGATGGGGCGGATCATAAGTAACAGGGAGTTAATGTTCCTTATCAAAATAACCTTCAAGCAAAGATGAGAGTTGAAAAACCTCATCTTCCTAATTCTTTGAGCAGGAAAGTGTGAGGTACGGTTAATACTGTCTCCCAGAAGTCCCCATCAGGGTTTAAGCATCGTTTGCACAAAGAAGCAAACTATTAATACTAATCAAAGTACACCGTATTGGCTAAATTTCCTTCCCTGAATCATTTCTCTCTTCCCATATCCGTGTTTTGTGGAGTTATCTCCCATATCACATCCTTGTCCCAGGGTCTGCCTCTTGGAGGAATCCAAATCAAGACAGACTCTCCACAAGGGTAATTCTGGGTGAGAACACCCCATTAGATCTGGTCCTCAAACTCAGAGCTCTGAGTTACTCTACGTGAGTGAGTCAGGCTTGATTCTTGGGCGGCTCTGTGGTCTGATGGAAGCATACCTTTCACGGGCGGAGCAGGCAGTTTCCTCCTCTGCTGCCTCGATGTGTCTATGGTTTGTACCTGCAAACAGGACACAGGCATCAGCACACCGTTGTGGAGCCACAGGGGTTTTAGCTTCTGCATTTTCCAGGTCATGCGGTTTTCCAGCAGACGAAGCAAGGGACGGACTCACCTGGTTCCTTTGCTTCTGGGTTCGTTTTCTGGTGAGGCGCCCACAGGGTGCTATGTTCAACCCTGCATTGGTCAGGGCTGAAATCCGGCTCTCAATATCAGAAATCTTAATGAAACAGAAAGACAGAATCAGTAAGCACAAAGTCCAGGAGGAGAGAATCTTTATTAACAGTGTTATGGACCTATGGAAAACAAATCTGCTTTGATATATGCTCATTCATTCATTCAACTTCCACCAGGCACATCTCCACCTGGTACTGTAGTGAAGAAAATAAGCCACGGATCCCTCTTTGTAAATATAATTTTCCAGTTGTTAGCTCTCGAGCATGTCACCCCAGTCAGAGGTCCCTGAGGGATAAATGGAAGCCTGGGGCATGACGGGAACCCTGGTCCAGGGCCACCGGGCTCAGCATAGGGGTGGGGTGGGGTCAAGGAAGGTTTCCCTGGGAGGCAACATGCTGTGAGTTTTGAAAGGCAAGTAGGAGCTGGGGATCCGCCTTCCTTCTTCCATGACTCCCAGAGTCCAAAATCACACCACCAGGTCTTAGGTGGGAGGCCCAGCAGCATCTGGTTCAAGTCCGTTTCCTCTATGAAGAGGCCAAGTGGCTTTGAGAAACTCCCTCCAGTCTCTGGGCATCGGTTTCCTTCACTGTAACATCAGAAGGTCAGAAGGAGCTCAGATTTCTTCTCCAGCAATGTCTTAAGGTAGATATGGAGAACAGGCGTCCACTCAGTGCCAGGAAAGAATCCCCGTCCATGTCCCCAGGGGTGAAGAAGACACAGTCCCTCCTCTTAGAAAAGGGTATCACTTATGTGCCATCACCATGCTGAGCACTTTAAATACGTGAACTCACTCATGCTTCGGTCACAGTCCTGTGATGCAGGCACTGTCCTCTTGGTTTTACAGACGAGGAAACTGGGGCTCAGAGGGATGAATGACGCACCGAACATCGCACAGCAGAGCTCAGAATTAATGCCAGTGCCCATGCCTTCACCATGCTGTCCCATCCTCGGGGGCCTTGCCAAGACCTGGCATGGGGAACCCTGGAGGAGGCAGGAGGATGCTGGCAGAGCTGAGGGAGGAGGCTGGGGCCACAGCCATTTCACTGCGATGACGCAGCCTGAGTGTGCTGGGGCATCAGACCGGAGACCTGAAAGCGGGCCCAGCCCAGCGTGTGTGCCCTCCACCCCGACGTCTTCACTGCCTTCCCTGTGTCAGATGCTCAGTCATGTCCGACTCTTTGTGACCCCATGGACTGTACCCCGCCAGGCTCCTCTGTCCGTAGAATTCTCTAGGCAAGAGTACTGGAGCAATAGCTAGGATATGGAAGTAACCTAGAGGTCCATCAGCAGACGAATGGATAAGGAAGTTGTGGTACATATACACAAGGGAATGCTACTCAGCTATAAAAAAGAATGCATTTGAGTCAGTTCTAATGAGGTGGATGAAACTGGAGCCTATTATACAGAGTGAAGTAGGTCAGAAAGAGAAACACTAATACAGTATATTAACACATATATATGGAATTTAGAAAGACAGTAACGATATTCTATATAAAGGCAGCAAAAGAGACAGAGATGTAAAGAACAGATTTTTGAACTCTGTGGGAGAAGGTGAGGGTTGGATGATTTGAGAGAATAGCATTGAAACATGTATATTACCATATGTGAAATAGATGACCAGTGCAAGTTGGATGCATGAAGCAGGGCACTCAAAGTTGGTGCTCTGGGACAAGCCTGAGGGATGGGGTGGGGAAGGAGGGAGGGGGGTTCAGGATGGGGGGACACATGTGCACCCATGGCTGATTCATGTCGATGTGTGGCAAAAACCACCACAATACTGTAAAGTAATTATTCTCCAAGTAAAATAAATTAATTAATTAAGAAAAAAAGAATACTGGAGTGGGTACTGAGGTAGGTACTGAAGATCTCCAGGGGATCTTCCCGACCCAGGGATTGAACCTGGGTCTCTTGCATTGCAAGCAGATTCTACCATATGAGCCACCTGGAAAACCCATTGCCTCTCCTGTCCCTAAGCTATTTCATGCTGTGCAAGACAAATTCTAATTCCACTGTCATTGAGGGCTTCTTTGGATGAAGCCCATGGGGACAGCTGTTCTAGGAAATGCAGATAGAAGGTCTGAAAGGGCAGCAAATAATGGGAGATGCTTCCCCTATCCTGGCAGTCTTTCTCAGAGAAGGAGGAGGAGGCAGGTAAAGGCCAGGACTGTGCAGCTGGTGAAAGAACTCTAGTGAAGCTGCCCAGCAGCCAGTCCCAAACAGGGGCCACTGTGCAGTCCTTGTCCCTCCCTGACCCCCAGATGCCTTCCTATTCTGATTCCTTAAATTTCACACCTAGGAGGGCATTCCCTTGGTTTAGAGACCAACAGAGCCTCTTGATGAAAGTGAAAGAGGAGAGTGAAAAAGTTGGCTTAAATCTCAGCATTCAGAAAACTAAGATCATGGCATCTGGTCCCATCACTTCATGGCAAATAGATGGGGAAACAGTGGAAACAATGGCTAACTTTATTTTTGGGGACTCCAAAATCACTGCAGATGGTGACTGCAGCCATGAAATTAAAAGATGCTTACTCCATGGAAGGAAAGTTATGACCGACCTAGAAAGCATACTAAAAAGCAGAGACATTACTTTGCCAACAAAGGTCCGTCTAGTCAAGGCTATGGTTTTTCCAGTGGTCATGTATGGATGTGAGAGTTGGACTATAAAGAAAGCTGAGCACCGAAGAATTGATGCTTTTGAACTGTGGTGTTGGAGAAGACTCTCAAGAGTCCCTTGGACTGCAAGGAGATCCAACCAGTCCATCCTAAAGGAGATCAGTCCTGGGTGTTCATTGGAAGGACTGATGTTGAGGCTGAAACTCCAATACTTTGGCCACCTGATGCGAAGAGCTGACTTGTTTGAAAAGACCCTGATGCTGGGAAAGATTGAGGGCAGGAGGAGAAGGAGATGACAGAGGATGAGATGGTTGGATGGCATCACCAACTCGATGGACATGGGTTTGGGTAGACTCCAGGAGTTGGTGATGGACAGGGAGGCCTGGTGTGCTGCGGTTCATGGGGTCACAAAGAGTCCGACATGAATGAGTGACTGAACTGAACTGAACTGAGATTGCTCTTATCAGTCATTAGCAACTGGTGTGAGTGAGATGCCCACACTCTCTCCTGGAAGCAGTTTTGATGGAGGGATTTGCTCAGAGAGCTCTGCTCAGAGGGCTCCTCCCCTTGAAGACAGCAAGCTGCTGATCTCCTGATTTGCTGACTGCCAGGCTCTGGAATAAGAAGGGTTAATTTTTCCTGCTTTAGTAAACGGGAAAAGGATGAAGAAAGAGGAAAGGAGATTGCTTAGGGTTGGTTTTGCCTGCATTTTATCTATCTATCTGCCTGTCTATCTATCATTTTGTCTTATTGTGTTCCATTAATTCCTAAGACCAAATATCCAGGGACCCTTACCCTCACTCTTAATAGAAGGGGGTGACCAGTTCAGTTCTGAGTTTTCTGGGAGCCAAAGCAAAAAGATCAGTGTAGGACTCCGTGTTCACAGATAAAGACCAAGTATTTAGCAGAACAGCTTTTCCTGATATTAAGAGTTCAGAGAGACTTTTCCCAGGAATGCTCACAGAGGTGACCCTGCAGGACACAGTGGACAGCTGTTCTTAGCACGCTGCCCCGTGGACTGTCCTGCAGTCTCCTTGAGCACCTGGCAAGCCTGTCCCAAAGGTAAACTCCAAGGTGAAAGCATCCCTGGAATCTGACCTAATCTAAGAACATAATTCAGCACATCTACCCTCCACGCGGACCCTCCTACCATCCCGCAGGGCACCCTCTGTGACCTCTCCTGTGAGACTCTGCTCTGCACAAGGACAGACAACAAGGAATGAGGCATCCTTCTCTGGCAGGAACTGCAGGACAAGGAGAGTCTCCATGCTAATAGAGGTTCCCACATTGAGAAGACTCGTAAAAATGGTGGCAGGGCTGACAACCTCCTATGCAAATAAAGACTCTTATGCAAGCGGATATACCTGAGGGCAGGACCAGCACTTTTTTTTTTTTTTTTTTTCAGGAAACCACACAGCAAAGACTGGTAAAGAATGTGGACTGTGAGGTCAGAAGGACTTGGCTTAAATTCCTGGCTTCATCACTTTCTAGTATTTTAGTTCAGTTTAACCATTCTGAGCCTCATTTCCTCCAGGTATAAAAAGGGGAAAATAATAATACCCATCCAGTGGGTTTGCTGAGAGAATTATATACAATAATGAATTCAAAGGTTAAACCCAACTCCTGGCCCAAAGTAAGCTCACTGGTGACATTACTGATGACGTTATTGTAATATTTAACAAAAAAGAATTAATAGGCACATTTAAGGGACTTCCCTGGTGGCTCAGTGGTAAAGAATCTGCATGCCAATGCAGGAGATGCGGGTTTGATCCCTGGGTTGGAAAGATCCCCTGGAGAAGGAAATAGCAACCCACTCCAGTATTCTTGCGTGGAAAGCCCCGCGGACAGAGGAGCCTGGCAGGCTATAATCCATGGGGTCGTTAAGAGTTGGGAAAAACTGAGCTGCTAAACAACAACAAGGCACATTCAAACACATGGAAAATAGATATTTTGGATGCCAGGATTTTCTGCCATAGAATGTGGCTCCAGTAATTTAAGCCTAGAAAAAATTGGAAGCACAAATAACTAATTATTCAATAAAACCCTCCCAGTCATCCATAAACAATATTACTTCCTGCCAAGCCATTTGAGAAATATTTGCTGCAAAATACACCCCCAGAAAACAAATGATTTGATTCTATTTTATATGATACTGACTATAAATTGATTAAATATTGAGGGGCTTTTGTGGGAAATGATTTTTATTTGGGGAGAGTTGCTCTTCAGCCATTCTTGCTGATAATAAACAGTCAATAGGGTCATATGTGGTAAGCCCATTCCCAGGCCATTCCTAGCACAGAACTGGTGCCCTCCCATTCTCGAGAGTGCTTAATGGCATCAGCAGTTGTTGTTAGGTAGTTAGAATAGGGAAAAAGAGTCCAAAATGGTGGTGGCTAAAAGACCTGGAAGGGAAAGCCCGCGAAAATAGAACAAAAGAAGGTCCGAGGACCGGAGTGAGAACCTCAGGTAAAACAAACAACGCTCCCGCCTAAGCCCAATTTACATAAGGCAGGCCCAGGGACAGAGAAACATAAAAAGAGGAGCCAAAGCCCTCTTCGCCCCTTTTGCTCCCTCCCTCTCTCTCCCATGCGATGGGGCAATCTTCTCTTCGCATCTTTTGATCTTCGTGCCCTCACGCCTCAAAGATGGATTTTCCTGCTATTATCTAAATAAATAGAGCTGTAACACTGAGCTGTAACACTGATTTATTTAAGAGCTATAACACGGTCCGTTTGAGCCCTGAGAGCTATAACATGGTCTGTCCTCTGAGAGCTGTGACCCGCCAAGGGGCTTTAATGTCCGTCACTCCAAATTTTTGTTGTGAGGAGACAAAGAACCGAGGAGCATGCACTCGCGTGACATTGTGATTTTTGACTCTTTAAAATAGAAATATTTATTTAAAAATAATTATCACCCAACACTGTCATCTTCTCTGTCCAGAGATGTTTTCTACTGATGCCCATTCTCCAAAGGATGCAAGTTTTGAGATGCAGGGTCTACAGAAATATCAGTGAACCAGGGATCTACACTGAGCTTATGCTCCAGAGACCAGCATGTTTCGTGGACCCCTGAATATGCATATGTCCACAGACCCCAGTCTGAGAATCAGGTACTTAGTCCACAGGCGATTCTGATCCAGAATCAGAGGTTGAGAGGTTATCCGTGGAAACTGCAAACAAGCATCTTCAGAAAGTTACAGATAATATAGTAATTAGTTCTAAAACAACCACATTGAAAATCATACAAAGTACCGGTCTAAGAATTCTACACTTCATTTTTCATTCATTTATTCCTCTCTATGTTATTGGGCCCCAGACCTGTGTCAGGTGTTACATTAGGCACTGGACTTACGGTGTTAAGCTAGACAGCTAGAGTCCTGTTCTCAAGAAACTTTCAATCTATCATGGGGAACACTGGCATTAGATAGGTAATCAACAGCGTGATAAAGGTTAAGGAGGTTGGTCTTGGGGTGGAGTGGGAACGTCTATAGCAAGGGTCAGAGAATTTGTCAAAGAGGAAGATGGCGTAGGTTTGGAAGACATATATTATCAAGGCTATAATTGGGGGAGAGGAGGGCTGCCCTTTATTTATTTATTTTTTTAGTTCTACCACTTTATTGCTACCAACCCACCTCCCTCCACCCTTGTGCACACATGCTCAGTCATGTAACCCCATGGACTGCAGCCCACCAGGCTCCTCTGTCCATGGACTTATCCAGGCAAGAATACTGGAGTGGGTTGCCATTTCCTTCTTCAGGGAAGGCTGCACTTTAAAAAGGAGGATTTGGTGGCATCCTGGGAGGACCATGTCCATGAAGTCTGCTGGAGATGGCAGGAACGGACAGACACAAAGGCTTAGAGATGACTCTTGTGGGAGATGAGGTACCCCCTCTTTTGGGGCAGAGAGGAGAGTTCTTACCTGGATCTCAGCGTGGTGGACCTGGGCTGCTGCCGTGGCCACCTGGTCCTCCAGATCTGCCAGTTCAGTTTCATCTGTGCCACTGTGGATGCATCGGGCGGCGTCCTCTAGCTCACTCAGCTGGCCTTCGAGTCCGTACACGGTGCCTGCCGCCAGGTACACCTGCAGAGGAGGCATGGCCTTTGAGCTCAGGTCTGTGGACCCGGGACTGGTGGGGCCCTTTCAGGGGATGCTATAATTCAGGGGAGTGAGAAAGAATTAGACTCGACATTGGGAAAAAGAGACAGGGAATCCCCCATTTACATTCTTTACATTCAAGTGGTAACATAAGGTCTTGCCACCCCCTCACTGTCAGCCACACACCCTCTTCCCCCAACCTTTCCTGCAAGAAAATATAGTTTGCAGATTCTAAAAATATGATAACATAGTATTAAAATACATGAGATAAGCTACATAAATGTTGAATTTGTCCAGCAACTATAACAACCATAGTATCAAGACAGAGGAAACAAGGAGAAAAACTCATGACGTAGTTTTTCCAACAAAAATTTTAGTTGGCATTTAGTAATTGGGAGAAATTCAGAGAACATGAAAGAGGTGAAATTAATTTAAAACAATTACAAATTTTGAGTGAATTATGTCTGAACAGGTACTATTAGCTTTCTTGAATCAGGTTAAGGGAATGAAAAGGAATCTGAAATTTGTAATACTTTATTTCTGAGAAAATAGTATGATGTTGAGAAGCATGTAAAATCTGTTTAATGTAAGACAGCTAGTAAAGAATCCGCCTGCAATGCCGGAGACCTGGGTTTGATCCCTGGGTTGGGACGATCCCCTGGAGAAGGGAAAGGCTGCCCATTCCAATATTCTGGCCTGGAGAATTCCATGGATTTTATAGTCCATGGGGTCACAAAGAGTCAAACACAACTGAGTGACTTCCACTTTCACTTTCACTGAAAATTAAAAAGAAAATAAGATAGAAGTAATTTGAGGGAAAATTAAAAGAAAAATTACTTTGGCTTATGAGTTTATAATGTGATTCTCATAAAAGTGGGCAAACAAGGAAATTCTTGGTGGTCCCGTGGTTAGGACTCCAACCTTCCACTGCAGGGGGCACGGGCTTGATTCCAGGCCAGGGATCTAAGATCCTGAAGTCTGCATACCATGTGGCGAGGTCAAAAAACAAAAACGTGGGCAAACAGAAAGTAAATCTTTCTGGAATAATTGAGGCCGTTGGAATAATTCAGGCCAAGGGATGTCAGACAGGGTGAATGAAACAAATGCTCTGGAATAATTGAGGCCATTGGAATAATTCAGGCCGAGGGGATGCCAGACAGGGTGAATGAAACAAATGCTCCTTCAGCCTAATTAACAATGGGATGAAACACAGGAACCAGATGTATCTAGAGAAGGTAATTAATTAAAGAGAGATACATGAGGTTTAATCAATGTATATAAAGCTCTAAACATGTAATCACAATCATTTTGAGTTGATCTGAATGATATGCACTGCCCCTATGTTAACAGTTCTTTTAACTTGAGGTAAAAATATAAGTTATATTTGCAAGAGCCGTGCACATAGATGACTTGCAGTGAGTGATGCTGAGTGTTGACGAGGAGGGCAAAGGCCCCTGAGATACCTCAACTCGGTCAATTCCTTGGCATGATGCATACATCTGCGTGAAAACTGGCAATTTTACAAAACTTTCCAGTGTGGAACAAAAGCAAGTGCAGGTGTGATGAAAGCAAATTCGATTGTGCATCACCAGATACAACTAGCTGGGCTGTGGGAGCTTCCACCAGTGACTGCCATGTCTGGAATCACTTCGGGTGATTCATCGGTCACACAGGGGTCATACATTGAATGTCCGCTGGCCATCGCCCTATTTAAGTTTGCCCTTAGTGTTCTATTTCTTTATCACATGCAAGTATTAGAGAACTTCTGTTTCTAAAAGATCTTCACAGTTTAATATAGCCATATGTTCTTTATCTTCAAAATAAGAAAAACTTTTATTTTTGTCCGATGAAGAAAATGATGGCTACTTCACAGCTATTTGAGGGGAGAAAAAGCTGTGAGGTTGAAAAATTATCTTCAGAAAGGGAGAAAAAATAAAGACAGAGAGAGAGGTAAGAAGAAGTAGGAGAAGAGGAAGAGGAGGAGGAGGGAGGGGGAGAGAGGAGAAAGATCAGAGAGATGGCCATGACAGTTTGAGTTTGGATATTATATTTTTGGTACCCACACCCAAAATGGTAAATTTATTTTGATATGATCATTTAAAACGTAAACAGAGCTTTGCACAATGAACCAAAATTTGTAATTATGATTTAAATAAAATGAATAATTTAAGTGTGTCCGTGGTTAAACGTGACTTGACATAAGGTCTCATAACCTTGATATTTCCAGGAACATGGAAAACTAAATGTCATCATACCCTATGGCCATATCAACTTAATAGCATCTTGTTGTTCTCTTGCCAACATAGTCATCCACTATCATTCCTTATTTTCTCTGCCAAGACAAAGCAGTATGAAATCGCTGCAAGTCCTTAGCAAGGCCAGAATGTTCATCTTTGACTCTGTGTCCCCTGAAAGCCTGCTTTCCCGGCACTAGTGTGGTGGGGGGCGGTTCAGAGGTTTGGCACTGACACCCATTCCGCAGGAACTTATAGGCAAGGGAGTGGCGCCTGAAGGCTTAGAGGAGGGCGACGATGGTGGTGATGCTGACGATGATCATGACAGGTATTTATCGAGCCAGAGGGCTGGTGCCAGAGTTCATGCCTTTACCCACCCTGCCCTGCGACGGTGTGCTCAGTCACGTCCAGCTCTTTGGCATCCCATGGGCTGGAACCCACCAGGCTGCTCTGTCCTTGGGATTTCCCAGGCAAGGATACTGGAGTGGGTTGCCAATTCCCCCTCTAGGGGATCTTCCTAACCCAGGGATCGATCCCCTGTTTCCCACATCTCCTGCATTGCAGGTGGATTCTCTACTACTGTGCCACCGGGGAAGTCCAATCTATGATTACCATGATACTTAATCTCAATTGGAATGTTATGACAATTTACATTTCAAACTTTGGCATAAAGCTACCAGAGTTACCGTGGTTATAGATGGACATGATACTGGCTCTGTGGCAGGCTGAAATAACAAGAATTAACATGCTATATAATGAAAATGTTATTCTAGTCTTAAAAATAACCCATTTGAAAACTGTTAACTTGTTATTGCTTGCTTAATTACGGTGCACTTTTGGCAAGAACTATGGTTACCACATCTGAGTAATCTGTGTCCCCTCCAAATTCTAGTCACTGGTGCCTGTGTCCCCACTGACTGGCTCCTGGTTCAACAAGCCTTTCTTAAACAGTTCAGTGGATGAGAATAAGTGTTTCATTAAGGAAGGACATTATGGTCAAAGCCCCTATGATACAGAACATTAAACAGATTTCTTATTGTAGAACTTCTCAGAGACTTTAATGTGCTAACATGTATCTCAGTTTTCCTAGAAAGAGTTTATGGGTTTCTCAAGCTTGTTTGATCTTAGAGCATCTTGTTGGACTTGACTTCCATGAAATACACTTTAGGAGACTAAGGTTAGACAGTAACAGATAGCATTTCTTTTCTTTTTCTCTGAGAGCAGAGAGCTATGATCACTTCCAGAAGTTCTACCTCACCTGTGCTGTGGGGGCTGTACAAGGGCTTTGAGAAGGAAGATCAACCTCCTCTGCCTGGGCTTGGATTGTGGGGCAGAGGTGGATGCCCCCATGGCTGTCCCACTGTGCCTGCTAACACCAATTGCATCCTACAGAGTATTTGGTATCGGCGAAAGTTTTAGGGCAGAAGTAAAAAACTAAGATCATGGCACCCAGTCCCATCACTTCATGGCAAATAGATGGGGAAACAATGGAAACAGTGACAGACTATTTTCTTGGTGTCCAGAATCACTGCACATGGTGACTGTAGCCATGAAATTAAAAGATGGTTGCTCCTTGGAAGAAAAGCTATGGCCAACCTAGACAGCATATTAAAAAGCAGAGACATTACTTTGCCGACAAAGGTCCATCTAGTCAAAGCTATGGTTTTTCCAGTGGTCATGTATGGATGTGAGAGTTGGACTATAAAGAAAGCTGAGTGCCAAAGAATTGATGTTTTTGAACTGTGGTGTTGGAGAATAATCTTGAGAGTCCTTTGGACAGCAAGGAGATCAAGCCAGTCAATTCTAAAGGAAATCAACCCTGAATAGTGACTGGAAGGACTGATGCTAAAGCTGAAGCTCCAACACTTTGGCTATCTGATGCGAAGAACTGACTTCATTGGAAAAGCCCCTGATGCTGGGAAAGATTGAAGGCAGGAGGAGAAGAGGACGACAGAGGATGAGATGGTTGGATGGCATCACCAACTCAATGGACATGAGTTTGAGCAAGCTCCGAGAGTTGCTGATGGACAAGGAAGCCTGGCGTGCTGCAGTCCATGGGGTCACAAAGAGTCCGACATGACTGAGCGACTGAACTGAACTAAAAAGGAAGTTGAGACTGTTCCTCCACTGGCTCTGTGGCTGGGAATTATGGGGTACCCCAGGTGGTCTCTGTCAGCAGAAGATCTTTAGATGGGGTATAGTGGTGAGGAAGCCCACTCATCCTGCCCCCTCACAACCCTATATAATCCCACAAGGTGGCCACGGTGGATTCCCCCATTCACACCACAGGTTTGAGAATGGTCAAGCTGGTTATTCTCTGTTGATCCCTAGATCCATTTTCCATTCTTCTCTGCTCTGTTCTGTTCTCTGTGAGGCTGACCTATACAGACTTTACCATCAAGGATCCCTCGCTGGCAGGGATGGGTTTAGCCAATGAGAATATCAAAGGCAGGAGGAGAAAGAAGTTAGAGCCTCCCCCCATCCCCTTTCCTTCCTGGATTCCATGGCAACAGCTTCCACTAGGGGATGCTTTTCCAGGCTCCCGCTCTCCCTGGGGTATAATGGCCTGGGGGCGGTGGCTACTTCCTCCTACTGCTACTCTCTGGGCACTGCAGCATCCCTTAACCTTACCCAGACCTGAGTCAATACTCACTCCTGAAACTCTCTGCTCCTAGCCAGACCCCTAAAGGTACAGTAGGACCCTGTGCTTCAGAGGTCCCCAGGCATTCAGTCTGAGAAACTGAGTCTCCACTGTGTGTGTGCAGGGAAGGCTGGCATTGCTCTGAGTTTCCTCCCACCTTTAAGTGAGACAGAGCTGACTTTACAGCCAGGCAGCAGGTTAGAAGTGTCAAAGTTAAGAGACTAAGGAAATTCTAAAATCCCTATTTGTTGTTGTTCAGTTGTGTCCAACTCTTTGCCACTTCATAGACTGAAGCACACCAGGCTCCCCTGCCTTTCACTATCTCCTGGAGTTTGCTCAGATTCATGTCCGTTGAGTTGGCGACGATACCTAACCATGTCATCCTTTGCCACCCCCGTCTCCTTTTGCCTTCAGTCTTTCCCAGCATCAGGGTCTTTTCCAATAAGCCCATGCCCCTCTCCCCCCAATTAAGTGGATTAACAAGGCAGTTCATGGAAACAGGAGATTTGACATGTGGATGTGACATATTTCATTTTATGTAGCTCTGAAATCTTCATAAGTCTACATAAAGGTGGACATTCTCTTGAAAATCTTCTCTTTATCTCAGAGTCTTGGTCTGCAGAAGCCAATGTTCAGAAAGCAGACTAAGTGTTGCCATTTCTAGTTCTGCTGGTCCCTGGGCTCCTTGGCACAAAAGAGAAAGACAGCAGAGGAATGAGGAGCAGGAGCGCTCTTTAGAACACAGACAGACAAAAGCCCTGCTTTAATTAAATCAGCTGCACCCAGACGCCAGTTTAAGAATCAGCTCTGCCCTTCTCCTGCTGCTCAGCTGAATTCCATCCTGGAAACAGCAGAGCAAGCGACCTGCCCATGGGCTCTGTGATCTGGGGAACTGAGGAGATAAAGAAAAAAGTCATCCCCTCCATGACTCAAAGACCCAGAGAATTCAAAGGAACACAGATGTAATAATCTCTTTAGAGGTGAAATTTGAAAAGCTGGACGGGGTAGGGAAGGAGGTGGAAGTAGGCAGTTAACTCTTTGTGAACAAGAGAGGCATCTCAGAGGGTCTGTACGGGGAGCAGGGCGCTGTAATCCCCAGCCTTCCACTGTTGGCCTTTCTGACATCCTGAATCAGCGGCTAAGAGGATGAGTTTCGGACTCAAAGTGTTAATGCGCCCACGAAAAGAAACGTGATGTACAATAAAAGGATCTTACAATATGAAAACTCTGCCAAGGCCATTGTATTTTTCAATACACTCCTTAGAGGAAAAGAAAAAGGCATGCTGTCTTTGCTTTCAATGTGCCATGGGGTCTGGCCGCTGTCATTTAAATCTGGATTATTTCATGCATTGTAAGTTTTTTGATATCATACTTTGTAAAAAGAAAATTCATCCCTTCCTGGTTAAACATATCTTTAATCTTTTCAACTCTGTGTGTGCAGGATTAGGGCTACTTGAGGAGTAACAGCACCTGAAAGCATTGTTACAGGCATATTTGAAGAACAGAGACCTGCACATTAGAAGTAAAACAGTGCTTTTAAAAATGTACCCTATTCATCTGATGTAGTCTTGTACTGGGCTTCCCAGGTGGTGCTGGTGGTAAAGAGACCATGGGAGAGGCCAATGCAGGAAACATAACAGCCTCAGGTTTGATCCCTGGATTGGGAAGATCCCCTGGAGAAGGGCTTGGCAGCCCACTCCAGTTTTCTTGCCTGGAGAACCCCATGGACAGAGGAGCCTGGCAGGCTACAGTCCATAGGGCCGCCAAGAGTTGGACACGACTGAAGTGACTGAGCACACATGCACGCATGCAGTCATGCATCAGATAAACATTTCTTGGGCGCCTCCTCTGTGTCAGGCTCAGGACCAAGGGCGAGGACTATCGCTAGGAAAGGCAGCAGGTCCGGTTCTGTAGGAATTTATATATCTGGTTTCCAACTCGGGCATGACTGTGCCATAGTCTTCTCTCATGCCCCCGCTAAGATTTGACAATGTCTGGAGACACTTTTGACTGTCAAATCTGGGAGGGTGCCCCTTCCAGCATTGAATGGGCAGAGACCAGGGATGCTGCCAAACATCCCATCCTACAATGTACAGAACAGCACCCACAACAAAGAATTATCTAACCAAGAATGTCATTGGTGCTGATCTAATGGGAGATATATGAGTGAACTGAAAGGGCCATGAAGTGAGGCAGACACATGTGTAGGTTTTATGGGAATCCAAAGGGACAGTCTTCCACTTTTCAAGTAAAACTAATTTGTTTTTTTTTTAACTTTGAATCATTTATATTTGTTGTTTCAACTTCTGGCAAAAAAAAAAAAATCTTGCTAATAACATGTCCTGGTTTCTGAGAACACCATTCATTAGAACATCTCCAAATTAGAGTTGATTCTGCTGAGTCTGGAAAGATGGAATCACCTGACTGGCTTTGATATTGGGACTATGCCAACTGTGATGGCAATGATGGCCTGTGTGGTCATGTCCAAATTTCTTTGTGTCACTCCTAGTTGCAATGCGTTGTTGGAAATTCTCATTGAAACTTCAGTGAGGTCTTTAAAGTGACTGTAGATATCTGTCTGTAAGAATGTATTTCTTTCTTTCCTCACTAGTTGGAAGGACAGAAAAATCCATTACAAGCAGACCTATCTGTGAGGCACAGCAGACCAGCTGCAGTAACCTAAGCTCTGTTGACAACCACTCTTACTCTGTGTAGTGGCACTGGCAACATTCCACATGGATCCCCACGGATCCCTTATATAAGTTCTGCTCACTGCCCTCCCCACTCCCAAGCTGGGGTGTGCTTTTGGTTCTAATAGCTCAAACCTCTGCAGAAGACTACCTTTGAGCTCCTGTAGACACTTTGAAAGTGAAAGTGTTAGTCACTCAGTCATGTCCTACTCTTTGGGACCCTGTGGATGGTAACCCGCCAGGCTCCGCCGATGGGATTCTCCAGCCAAGAATACTGGAGTGGGTTGCCATTCCCTTCTCCAGGGGATCTTCCTGACCCAGGGATCGAACCTGGGTCTCCCGCATTGCAGGCAGATTCTCTACTGTCTGAGTCGCCAGGGAAGCAGACAGTTTGCATGCATGAAGAGAGACTGAGGTACCTGCTGGCTGTAGGAAGGGCAGGTTTGTTGGTCTTAGGACAACTCTAGATGCAACTCACACTCTGGGAGTTGCCTGCAGGTTTGGGCTTACTCTCTGTCTAAGGTTATAGCTTTGCTTGACTTCTTCCCTTGTCCTATTCCCTTATAAGTCTCCCCTGGGAGCACTTCCCTAATAAATCGGTTGCACAGAAATCCTCATCTTGGGGTCTGCTTCTGGGGAACCCAATCTAAGACCCTTCTGAGAATATATATGCTACACCAGTGATGTGTTTGTGTCCTCGCCCTCTGTGATGAGTTACAACATCATCGGCTTCTCCTTTGCACATGTGTGCCCTAAGCAGAGCACATCCACATTGTCTTACATTTTCCTCCAGGGAAGTCAGCTGCTCATCCAGCCTCACTTGGTCTGTCCCAAGAGGAAATGTCCCCTTCTCTCTGTCAGGAGGGACAGGTGGGAACTCCCAGGGCCCTGCAGACTCAGCGATCAACTCCTCCGTGGCGTTGATGACTTTCAGGACTTCTGTGGAGATGTTGCAGAGAGAAACAGCAGAATACTTCTGTTTGGTCCAATAACAGAAGGGGACAGAAGACAAGAACAACATTAACAATGACATGGAAATTCTACATCATCATGGTGCTCATCATGAGATTGATTCTGTCATAACACACACAAACATCAATGTGCGGAAGGAATGAGAATCTCTAAAATATCTACCCAGTCTGAGGGGACTGAGAGGAGGCCTGATGTGACTTGGCTGAGCTTTTGTGGCTCACAGTGAATTATTTCAGATTCTTAGGGAGAGAGGGAGGGGAGCTCAAGTGGAAGTTACTAGGTCCTTTGCCCACTGCTGATAGTTTCATATTCATCACCTCGTTATCTGGATAATATTCTCTTTCTTCAGCAGACCTTCAATCACAGACTCTGTCAAACTACATTCATGATGTTGTTCAGTGGGTCGCTTTCTGGATGGGGAGTTGAGGTGGTCTGTGCTCTAGATCTGGCTGTAATTTCATCCAGACATGTGACCTTGGTCAGGTTACTTCCCATTTCTGGAACTCAGTTCTGTCATCTGTACATGAAAGGATTAGAAAGACTTTCTCTGCAGCCGCTTGGTAGCCACTGTGTTGTTAGCTCACTACATCTATTCTCAAGCCCATTCTTCCTTGCCTTCCTTCACCACTGAGGCTGAACAGGAATTTCCCAGCCTCCCCTGCAGCCAGGGGCAGTCATGTGACATGGTTCTGCCCAGTGAACCTGCAGGGAAAGCCCGTTGGGGTTTCTAGCAAAGCTTTTGTTTTCCTAATCAGGTGAACAGATACAGAGGCTCTCCTGCCCCTGCCTCGATCAGAGGTGTGCAGTTAGGAAGTCAACATGAGTGAGGATGATATCAAAATGCTGAGTCAGGTGGATGAGAAAGACTGAAAGGGCCTGGCCCACAAAGACCCTGCATCAGCTGTCCTGCTTCGACTCTCCCTGCCTCTGAAAATGCATGAGAAAAATAATTCCCTGCCTGTTGGAGCCCTTGTGGGCCAGACTTTCTATTATTAATGGTCGAACACATTTCTGGCTGACACAATTCACTTCTAGTTTTTGTATTTGTGACTCAAAGTTATAATCAGTCCAGATCTGGGCCAAGGTCTTTGATGGAGTGGAGGTACTTCAATCACAAAGAATCATCTGCATCTTTGAGTTCATCTGAACATATAGCACCAAGTAATAAGAAGGAGATCAATGTTGCTTGGCAGTAATGGTGTCCATCTATAATCAATTTTACTTAGTCCATCAGAGGGTTTGCAAACTGGAAATTCAAATCTTGCCCATTTCCAGGAAAGCCTGGAATTTTAATGCCTTTGATACCGCCCAAGGTATCTATCTGATTCATATAATCTGGACCAAATATTAATGACAGCTCTGGCTTGATCTTGCAAAGTGTGTTTCTCCAGGTAAATTCTACTACAGGTGCCATCTCACTGGAGGAAGTTTTCAGTGGCCCTGCAACTTCTCTAGGAAATCAAAGTGTCTAAGTGGCAAGTCTGTGGCTGAATTCACAGTGTAGAAGCTGGCTCTGGGCTTTGGCACATGGTCTCATACTAGAGTCTCACCCTGACATCTGTCAGTCATCCTAGGGTTAAGGTGCATGTGCTCAGGGGGCAGCTCTCCAGTCAATCTGTTCTGTAATAGCTGCTTGATTCATCCAAGAGTTATGCTTCTTTTGGTTCAAGGGACTTCACTACATACCAAAAAATCGGTCTGAGTTATCAGGAAAATGAGAGGGAGGGAAGGCAACGCAGATCCACCAGACGAAGGGTACTGTCCAAGGAAGAGTCAAGCCAACCCTTAGGAAAAACTTGCAGAGGCTGTACTCCATCATCCAGAATCCTGTAACTCAGTGTTTTAGAGATGACCTGGACTCAAAATGTTTTGGCATGAAGTAACCACCATCATTTGCTGAAGTCCATTTTAGAAAAGGCAACACTGTACATATGAAAACAGACATGTTACCCTTCACTTAGTAGATAAAGCTTATATTTAGAAAGTTTGCCCTTTATTTGGTAGAAGAGGTGCCTCCGTACATCTTTTGAGAAGAAAGACGTGTAACTAAGGGATTCAGAAAAAAAGTTAGATGTTAGCATGATGGAAGGGCAAGTATGAACATTAACACACACCTCCCATTGCTCCAGGGTTGTTAAAGGGCTAAGGACCTAAATGGGAAGGACGTAAGAGGTGCTTAATCAGAAAGAGTTATCTGCATCTTGACACCTACAGAACATACAATATCAAAGTGATGAGCTGGACATCAGTGTTGCTTGGTAGTCATTTTTCCTTTCCATCCATAAATAGCCTTGTTTATTCAATCATAGGAGTTGCCAGCTGGAAGCCAAATAGTGCCTAGAGGCATGTGGTTTTTTCTTTTTCCCTGACAAGAATGCCTTCTGTGAGATAAGCGCCTCCCAGTTCTCTGTAGTCCCTGCCACTAATTTGTCTACATCTTTTATTGGGGGTTGGTGATGTGCTGACTCTACCCCAGGTCCTGGGAAGAAGCAGTGAACAGTGGGTGAAGTCCCTGCCCCCATGGCGTGTCTTCACCTCCACCCAGGTGACCTGACATGGGGACATACTTTCCTGACCCCCTGAAAGTATTTGCATTTGTCATTAATTGAGAGTGAGCAGTCACCGGCAGCTGGTCTGTAGAGAGCACCAGAGTTTTGCTCACAAGGTCTGTGGTCCCATTCAGAAGGCAACAAGCCTCCAGCTGGGGAAGGGACTGAAAAAAAAAATTACATGGAAACTGGACAAGATCACTCTGGTTGGTTGGTGTCCCAGTTCAGCTCTCTACTGGGAAACACAAACTGGAACCCATGAGCACTTGGGGGGAATTTATCCCATCTCTAGGAAATCAGATGTTTCTTGCCTGTTCTACAGGAGTGTTGCTGACTTGCTTGGATGTGAGCACAGGAGTGGACGGGGCACCTACTGGGAGGGAAGATAAGTGGGATTTAATTAGTTGTGTGATAGGAGCAGGGCACCCAACCTCCTCATTCCTTAGTTAACTCACTAGCCTAAGAAGAGATTAGATTTGTCACAAGGCTCACACTGTCTTGTTATGTAAATGTCCTGTTCCCTGCCCAGTCTAGATTTAAAAGTCGAAAGCACCGTCTACAATTGTGTGAAATAAAGCTATATTTAGCGCCGGACAGGGTTTTGTTCAGCTGAAAAAGCTGGTAAGGATTCAGAGGTGCTGGCAGGGAGCCCTGTATGGGGGAGAAACGAAAATCTAAAGCAGCCTTCCTGCTTTATTGCTTACAGCCCCAGAGACACGAGCGGAATGGCAAAAACAAAGCATGATTCCAGAGCCAGAGAGGGCTTTCTACGATGGCAGCTGACGTTACTCCTCACTTTCATTGTGAGATAGATCAAATGTGACAGGTCCATGGTATCAGATAAGGGAGAGGTGAACGTGTGGAGAAAATCAGCTGACAGAATAGGGGCCACTGCAGAACAGGAAGGCTGGACTCAAAGACACTCACAGCCAAGGGCCCCACAGATGACAGAACAAAAATGGCCAGTGAGCCTAAGTAGTAACCAAATTCAACCTTCTAGTAATCAAAGAAACACAAACAACAAACATACTAAATTCCAGGTAGATACACAACTCCTTTTGAAAATGCTCAGGGTAGCCAGTACTGCTTTTCCTAGGTGGAACAGGGGCTTTCAGGTGTTGACCTGGCAGAGATGTATTTCTTGTGATGCACCAACACTCCCCAGTCTCTTGACCACATGTGGTCACCACTGAGAGCCTGGGTGTCCACCTCTAGGGTCTGGTTTGTGTCGCAGCCCTTTGTGGAACACTGAGTCCATAATATCAACTTCACAATCACCAGACTATAACCAGTAGTCCACGCTTGGGGTCCAGAAGGTGAAGAGAAACCTCCAGTGTTTCCTCCATCACTCACCAGTGAGGCAATGAAACAAGTGTCCATCTCAACAAAGATTCAGCTTCCTGCTTGACCGTAACCAACAACAGGACCAGCTCAGACCTTTAAGGAGGCAATATACCACTCTGAGGCGGGAGCCTGCCCCAGTGGCCATGTCAATGGACTAGAGGAAGAAGACCATGTCAGGACCCAGTCATAAGTCCCACCAGATCTTTTCTATTCTCTCTGAGGACCTCGGGGCAGAGCAGACTCTGCCTTCACTTTTTGTCTCACTACCCACAAACTTATTTTTGCCTTTTCATACTGTTCATGGGGTTCTCAAGGCGAGAATACTAAAGTAGTCTGCCATTCCACTTCTCCAGTTCAGTTCAGTCACTCAGTCGTGTCCGACTCTCTGTGACCCCATGAATCGCAGCACACCAGGCCTCCCTGTCCACCACAAACTCCCGGAGTTTACTCAGACTCATGTCCATCGAGTGGGTGATGCCATCCAACCATCTTATCCTCTGTCATCTCCTTCTCTTCCTGCTCCCAATCTTTCCCAGGATCAGGGTCTTTTCAAATGAGTCAGCTCTTCGCATCAGGTGGCCAAAGTATTGGAGTTTCAGCTTCAACATCAGTTCTTTCAAAGAACACCCAGGACTGATCTCCTTTAGGATGGACTGATTGAATCTCCTTGCAGTCCAAGGGACTCTCAAGAGTCTTCTCCAACACCACAGTTCAAAAGCATCAATTCTTCAGCACTCAGCTTTCTTCACAGTCCAACTCTTACTACATTTTGTCAGAGAAGACTCTTGGAATGTGAGGAGAGCAAACCAGTCAATCCTAAAGGAAATCAACCCTGAATATTCCCTGGAAGGACTGATGCTGAAGCTCATGCCCTTTTTCTTCCTATAAAAACATGTTTCTAGGAACAAATTCTCCCTCCTTTTATTCTTCCTTATAAACTGTTTTCCAAAGACTCACAGCACGTAAAGTGTCACCAGGCGGAGATTCTGAGTCTTTAGAATTCAAAAGAAGAAAATATCTCCATCCTAAACACTGGATATCCCTGCTTATTTGCAACCCTTGCAAATTCGCCTAAGAATGTCCCAGTGTCATCATTCATTTCAAAGCTTTG